GAATTAATCGACTCGATTGAGAATATGCGTCAACTGATTTAGTTGATATATCGGGATTAATTCTTGACGACTGTGACGTGAATACTCATAAGTTGATATTTTTCTATATTAATTAGATAAGGGCCGGGAGATGACGAATCGATAGTTCTGCGGTTGAATCTTAAAAAGATTAAATCTTGGATCAGAAGAAATCAGTAGTCGGTGCGCTCTTCAAGAATACTAAGTTAATTTTAAATTTGAGGTGCAACTTAACATTAAGTATTCTGTTTTCTTTTCTTTATAAATGTACTGTAAAAAATTTTATTACTTTACATATATTTGTAATTTTTTTTTTCGATTAAAAAAGATGATAAAGGTGATCAACTCCTAAGAAAAGAAATATCCGATCTTTTTAAAACATGAATATGGAATACGTCGAATAAAGTAAGCGTTTACTGAGTATTTGTTGAGTTGTTATGTATCTGAAGTTACGCTGTCACTAGATGTAAATCGGAGAATTGAAAGCACATCGTGGCCACGGCTTGCCGTGAACGTTCTTCTCTGTTTTCGAAAAGCGACTGGTAGAAATGTACCGGGCCTGTGATGAATAGGATACATGAATTAATCGACTCGATTGAGATTATATGCGTCAACTGATTTAGTTGATATATCGGGATTAATTCTTGACGACTATGACACGAATACTCATCAGTTGATATTTTTATATATTAATTAGATACGAGCCGGGGAGATGACGAAATCGATTGTTCTGCGGCTGAATCTTAAAAAGATTAAATCTTGGATCAGAAGAAATCAGTAGTCGGTGCGCTCTTCAAGAATACTAAGTTAACTTTAAATTTGAGAAGCAACTTAGCATTAAGTTTTCTGTTTTCTTTTCTTTATAAATGAAAAAAATTTTTATTACTTTACACATATATTTATAACTTTTTTTCTTTTTTCGATTAAAAAAGATAATAAAGATGATAGAAGTAAATCAGAGGATTGAAAGCTCATCATGGCCACGGCTCGCAAAAGTTACTAGCAAATGATGTATAGTGGGCGGCCTGTCGTGAACGTTCTTCTCTGTTTTCGAAAGGCGACTGGTATTTGTGCCGGGCCTGTGATAAATAGGATACATGAATTACATCGACTGATTGAGTTTATATAGACTGTTTGTGTATCGGTATTAACTCTTGACGATTATAACACAAATATTTATCTATTTATATTTTTCTATATTAAATAGCGAAGAGCCGGTGTTACTATCGGATTCGGGAGAGCGTCAGTAAATGGTGCTGGGTTTAGATCAGCGATAGTTAACGGAGATATCTGACAATATATGTGACTTATATGCGAGACAATAATAAAAGTTGCAGTAAGAATTATAAGGACCTTGATGTAATTTAATCAAGGGATGATGTAAATAGCCTAATTGTAATAAATTAAGAATTTGTAATAAGATCGCAATACGTAATAAATTTAAATGATCGTTAAGAAGGATTTAGAACCGATTGATTCAATTAATTAAATAAATCAATTTTAAATGATTTTTAAGAGACCGTGAAGATATATTCACGACGTGGTAACTAGAATGGAATCGTGAAGATGTATTCACGATAATGTAACAATGCTGTAAATACGAAAATCCGTCAAGTGTATAAAATTTTTGTTAAATATAAGAGATCAAAGCCAAAAACTCGAGTTTATAAATACATAATTCGGTCTACATAAAATAATTACACTACTCTATTGACGATACGACTCCCTTTCTTTTATTAATTCCTTTTTATAATTGCTTTTTCCCTTCCGTCGTAACCTTATTCTACTTAAGTGTTAGTTCCGGTTCTTGAAACATCTGTGTCGAGGCGGTACCTTCATTAAGATAGACTATATACGGCGTTCTCGAATCATTTACAAGGTTTGGGATGAAAGGTATTGCCGATTGCACAAGAACTTCTTCTTGAATGTTGAATATTACACCAGCCGTTCTTGGGTTTAGGGACCGACGATAACATAATTTTATTAGACCTTTTTTTTTGATCATGAAAACTGATTAATTTGATCAAAGATCACTTAATTTATGCGCACGTCATTAAAAAGTGCCCTAAATTAAAATTTACTTGTTAGAATTTGCGTCCAACTGATTACTCCACCCTTTAACCGATTACTTTTTTCACCAATCAAATCAACAATAAACTAATCTCGATACGTGATATGTCTTTAAAACCAAATATAACCACAACCGATCGGTCAGTACCCTTTAAACTTTGGGTACAAACAAAATTAGCTCAAATGAGATAATATAAAAATAGAAGTGGATAAGCAAAAGAAAAAGAAAATGTTCGGTAAAACGGTTAAAAGTCAACGATTATCGTAATACAACGACGCAGAAAGAAAGATCAGGTGACGGCAGTAACACCAGGAGATGACGAAATCGATTATTCTGCGGCTAAATCCTAAAAAGATTAAATCTTGGATCAGAAGAAATGTAGTAGTTGATGCACTCTTCAAGAACACTATGTTAACTTTTAATTTGAGAAACAACTTAACATGAGGTATTCTGTTTTAATGTTGTTAGACAAAACCTAAGGGTTTTGTCAATGACAAAAGTCGAGCCAGTGTCAAAAAATTTTTTAAAATGACAAAATGACGAAAGGTGACAAAAGGTGACAAAAAGTGACAAAACTGACAAAAGACAAAACTAATAAAAAGTAACAAAACTAATAAAAGATAATAAAATTAATAAAAAAATAAATAAAATTAATAAAATTAAAAAATATATTTAAATATTTACAATAAATTAAATATAAAAATTTATATTTATAGTATATTCGTTCTAAAAATAAAAATATAATCTTCTTTAAATAGGTCTGTATCATTTCGCCAACACTCACTTCACCAACATGCCATTCATCACAATCAATTCATCAACAAGTTTATTTCACTGACAATTATTTTACC